GCCACCTCAGGACAGACTAGGACTACTCAATGATGCCTTTGCTTTAGTAAGTAACCTATTGTCTACTTGTTATGAATTATTATGCTGTGAATATGCATACCTTTAATTCATCATAATTCATGTTATACATGTACTTATTCTCTCTCTTTTACTCTTTCTCCTTTTCATAGGCTAGGGCTGGTGTTGGCAGTACTGTTGAGGTACTTCGTCTCTTAAAGTCTTTCTCTTCCGAGACTAATTTCACCGTTTGGCAGAATCTTGTCTCTAATTTGTCTCTGCTTGAGAGATTGGCCAATTATTCTGATTTCTCTGCCGAGTTCAATTCTTATGCTCAGAGTCTCTTCACTGACGTTGTATCAAGGCTAGGCTGGGATCAAAAAGACTCCGACAGTACGTCAATAAAAAAATATAACTATTTTTTTATTTTTAATATTTACCAGCTCCTCTTGACAAGATGCTGCGTGGGATGGTCCTGAAGCAGTACTGTAACTATGGAAACAAGGAAGCAGTGGCTGAGGCTCAGCGTCGTTTCGCTGCTCATGTCAATAAGACCTCATTAATCCCGTCAGACCTCAAGGACCTTGTCTTTGGTACTTGCATGGCCAACGGTAATGATGAAACCTTTGATCAATTGGTTAAGGTAAGGTGTCAACCCCTCCCACTTCATTAACTCCGCCCATTAGTTTCATGATGAGACTGATGACAGTGATGAACGCAGTCGTATTTATCGTGTCCTTGGACGAGGAAAGACGGAGCCACTGGTCAAGAGATGTCTGGAGTTAGGACTATCGGTATGTTAATATACTTACTCAGTTATCGTCATTTTCTTTCTCCTCTAGGATAAAGTAAGGAATCAGGATGCCTGGGGACCTATTGCCTCAGCTGCTGGTGGAAGGTAAGAAAAAGAGAGAGAAAGAGAAGTCAAAGCCATTTGTATTTTCTAGTCGTTTGGGCCGCAATCTAACTTGGCAGTTTATGAAGGAGAACTGGGAGACATACCAGAAAAAGTTTCAAGGAAGCTTCCTTCTCTCAAGAGTCATTGAGGTAGGATACAGACACTACACACAATACTATAGAGTGTATTGGGGCATTATGCTACTGACCTATTGTTTGTAAAGGTCCTCAGGCTAGCATATGTACTAGTAGTTATTGGTAGTAGTCTTTTTGTAGTCAAGTTTTAATTCTATCCAATAGATTGTTACTATTGGTTTTATTGGTGAAGACAAAGCTGTCGAAGTTGACGAGTTCTTCAAAGCAAACCCTGTACCGGTTGCTGAGCGTGCAATACGTCAGAGCTTAGAGGCAATACGTAACAACACTCAATGGCTGAAGAGAGATGAAGCCTCCATTAGGGAGTGGCTTAAGAAAGAAACCCAATCTTAGAGACACTTATAAATCATTGTGTGTATGTAGGACTTGCCTATACAATTGATGCTGCTTGATTTAAAAAATAATAATTTCTAAAAAATGATTGTCAATGTGCTGACTGTATACATTGGTGCAATAAATTGCTATGTTTAGACTTCATTCATATGC